GTTCTTAGTAACTGTAACGGATTACAGTTACATTTATTTTGTAATTAAATTACGTAACGCCGTTACATGTAATTAGTTACTCCCCAACACTGGGCAACAATACGTAAGTGCTGTGACAAGTCTCGGTTAGTCTTACGCAGTACATGTAGCAAGTTTTATAATATATAATAAGAAAAACAAGTAGATAGAATAGAAAAAGAATAGCGAATGCTAGTGTTAGAGGGTCAAGTGTTTTTTCCCCATACAATTAGAATAGAGAGTGCTAGTGTTAGAGGGTCAAGTGTTTTTCCCCCCATAGAATTAGAATAGAGTGCTAGTGTTAGAGGGTCAAGTGTTTCCCCCCATAGAATTAGAATAGAGAGTGCTAGTGTTAGAGGGTCAAGTGTTTTTTTTTCCATAGAATTAGAATAGAGACCGCAAGTTTTAGAAGGTCAAGTGTTATTTTTTCCCTTAGAATTAGAATAGAGTGCTAGTGTTAGAGGGTCAAGTGTTTTTTTCCCCTTAGAATTAGAATAGAGAGTGCTAGTGTTAGAGGGTCAAGTGTTTTTTTTTCCATAGAATTAGAATAGAGACTGCAAGTTTTAGAAGGTCAAGTGTTTTTTTCATTAGAATAGAGACTGCAAGTTTTAGAAGGTCAAGTGTTTTTTTTCCCTTAGAATTAGAATAGAGAGTGCTAGTGTTAGAGGATCAAGTGTTTTTTTCCCTTAGAATTAGAACAGAGAGTGCTAGTGTTAGAGGGTCAAGTGTTTTTTCCATATAGAATTAGAATAGAGAGTGCTAGTGTTAGAGGGTCAAGTGTTTTTTCCCTATAGAATTAGAATAGAGAGTGCTAGTGTTAGAGGGTCAAGTCAACAAATAGTTAAAATAGAATTAGAACAGAGAGTGCTAGTGTTAGAGGGTCAAGTGTTTTTTTTCCATAGAATTAGAATAGAGACCGCAAGTTTTAGAAGGTCAAGTGTTATTTTTTCCCTTAGAATTAGAATAGAGTGCTAGTGTTAGAGGGTCAAGTGTTTTTTTCCTATAGAATTAGAATAGAGAGTGCTAGTGTTAGAGGGTCAAGTGTTTTTTCCCCATAGAATTAGAATAGAGAGTGCTAGTGTTAGAGGGTCAAGTGTTTTTTCCATAAAATTAGAATAGAGAGTGCAAGTTTTAGAAGGTCAAGTGTTTTTTTTCCTTAGAATTACAATAGAGAGTGCTAGTGTTAGAGGGTCAAATGTTTTCCCCCATACAATTAGAATAGAGAGTGCAAGTGTTGGGTCACTACTACACACATGCATAGCTGAGCGGACACACAGTGTTGTGTTACTTAAGATAGGCTAGGTATCGCTTTATATGACAGTGTGCTCCCTAATGAAAATGAACCATGGATTTACTACAAAAAAAAAAAAAACCCTGGTTACTACACTTCTACTATTATAAAACCATGGTTCATTTTTGTAAGGGTTATACATATTAAGTCTACTGTATTGATTACTATAGAACAATAACAATAGATCCAAAGTACCATAACCAAAGTACCAAAATACAATGGCATTGAGACGGTATCTTGGAAATCTACCATGGTAAAATGGAGGAACTAGTGTAGGCCTACCATGACAATCAGGCACTATATCATCAATATGTCACAGTACTTCTTTATTGCACTAAGAATGACTCAATTTTATTGGGCTGTTACTCATAATGTCTTTAAATGTCAATTGTTTAGCAGTCTTGTTCTTTTGTCTTGTGGTGATCTGTGTTCACATAATGGTGACGACCATAGAGAATCAATTTCTTGACTTTTCTGATTTCAGTGTCGAAAAATAAAACAAAATCCATCTACTCACATATCTTTAGCTGTATATACTTTGTAGGTCTTATTCAAAATACACACAGATATTACTACCTAAATTAACACAAAACTGGAAAATCCCTTATGATGTCAGTAAAGTTCCAGGTTAATCTCAGTGGAAGTGCACATGAGATCATTTAGTTTATGTTGCCCCATAACTGTTGACCGCAGTTTAACCAAGGACAGTGTAGATAAAGAGTCTTATCTGCAGGATAATGGAAATACACGTCACAATAACACAATGCTCTGTCTGTTCTCACATCTATGAGCACAGGAAGCAAAATTAAACTGAACAATTTTGTTTGCGTTATTCTCATTTTAAAGTCAATTTAAAAATCTTCTAAATTAATCAATTGAATGCAAACACAATAAAATAAAATGCATGCAAATGCAATTTTAAAAGAACAACAACAGAATCTCAGACTGAATTAAACCTGTTTCCCTTGTCTAATCTTACATGCATAACAAATATGTTTTTGTTGCTGTGCTTCAGTGATAATTAAATGTGCTGTATTTATTTATTGTGACACCACACAAATTAAAGAGGTCTTGACTACAATGACGGATATGTGTGTGCCTCAGATAAATGCATGGTTGATGTTAAAAAGAGATTTCCTGTTGACGTATAATGTGAAAGTTGGGTTGAGCTTGTAGGCTGCTGTACTGTGAAAATCTTATGAAACATTTCACACATTTGGATCTCTGAGTGTTAATTTAGGTCACTAGAAGTTCTAGTGAGTGAGCTAGATCTCTATGACCTTACCTTTCCCTTTCGGACTGGCAAACTTTTGCACTTCTGCATCACATCGAAACTTTATGTCTAAATAAATGAATAGACCTTTTGTTAACAATTGGTATGAAGAGGATTTAAATAAGGGGGTCACTTCACAAAGAAACAACAATACTTATCTTAAGACAGTACTGGCAGGCTTCCCTTTGCACTCCTTCCTGTTCCCCAAGAGTTGTGGTTTCATAATCATGAATAAATACACATTCACTGATCTTGCATCAGACCATGATGCCATGCAGTATCGTTATGCATTTAACTGACTATATTACTAGTTGGTTATAGGGTGACTAATATTAGTATAACAGAACTAATAGAAGTAGTAGAATTTTAAAAAGCTTGGGCTATTTAAAAATACAAAAGGACAACCCCCATTATGCAATATAAATGTATTTTTCAATACCTCTTAACAGTATGAAAAATATATATAAAAAATAAAAATACATTTTGATGCTTTGTGTTTATTCTCGGGGCGTTTGTAACTGATGCTTCACAATGTTTCTCCAATGCAGGACTGAAAGGTCTCAGGTCTCTTCTGGTCTGTATATCTGTTTAGAGGAGATCTTGAGTGGGAACGATTCTCTCTCACATCCCGACGCCTCTTTGATGAGTATTCTGGGATGGGTGACCGGGATCGACGGCTGTGGTTTGGACGCAAAGATCTGGTTCCATTCCTAAAATGATTCACCTCCTGTGTGAGAAAGAATCATGAAATAGTTCTGAAATGAAGATGAACCACAAGAAGAAACGGCTTAAGGTCTTACTTGACGCAAAACAGTGTTTGCGGTCAAAGCGTCCGGTGAAACATCTGACTGTCTGCAGGTTGGACAAAGGTGTCCGTCAGACTCCAGCAAACACGTTCTGATACCTGAGACCAAAAGATAGTCAGAAACAGCCAGTTTGTTTCTGACTGATGTTTGTTTGAACAGACACTCACATTCATCACAGTAGCTGGTGCTGCAGCAGGGAATCATCACAGCATCAGTCAGCAGATCCTTACAGATCAGACATAGCAGCGCGGTGGGGACTGGATCGGATGAGGATGGGGATGAAGGCTCATTCTGGGGTGAGAAGGGCGGCTTTTCTTTCTTCCTAATCGCATAGGCCTCACTGAACAGATCAAACACGACATGATTCAAACACAAATTTTGTCCTCCTCTGATGCATTTGCCTCAGCCAGATTCTCAGTCTGTTTCACAGGCATTTGCATGTTGTAATATTTAGCACTGAGACACTCAAACCTCCTTGAAGAAGCTGCTTGTGTGTTTGTCATTGTGGGATTTATGCTCACTTTTAAGCATTTTAAGCATCTTCACTGTACACTGCCTTCAAACTCGACCGTGTCGTGAGTGAGTTTACTTCGAAACTTATAATGAACACAAGGCATGTCGACACGGTTCTTGTTAACCACACAAAATAAAACTGATCTAAACGATCACAATCGCGAAAGGAAAAGCCGATCAGTCGATTAGCTGATGCTGATGAGTCAGGTTTACAGAAAACGCCAACAGAACGTTGCCATGGATACTGATGAAGCGCGTCGTCATGACGTGAGACGCATGTGAACGCTGAAAAACTACAGGTGCGTTTCCCAAAAGCACATGGTCGCAAGTTCCGTCGTTACAACCATAGTTAGCTAATGATGCTTTTGGGAAACGCACCTCAGAGCCGTTAAGAAAGAGAGTTGCGACATGCTTTGACATGACAAATGCATACAACTAAGTTTCAAAACTTAACATTTAAATGAAAAACAAAAAATAAAGCTAAAAAAAAAATTCTAAATATTAAAGAACAAAAGGTATGAGAGTATAATAATGATTCTAACATAACACTAAGCCAAACACCAAAAAAAAAAAAAACTACATGTGTATGTACAACCACACACACATACATATACATATATATACATATTTATAAATTCAATATATATATTATTTCATTTCCATTTAGTTTGTTGAAGTATTAAAATAACTCAAATAAAATTAAAAACTTAAAAGACCGATACAAACATAATAAATTCAGACATAATTTAACTAAAATTAAAATAAATAACAAATACAAATAATACAAATCAAACGACAGTAGTTTATCAGTAATCCTAAAAAATAACACTGCCAAACACACATGCTAAAAAACAACAACTTACTTACACATAGTAAGAAATGGTTATAAAAACTGAAACAGAAGCAAAACAAGTTGTAGGAACTATTGTTATTATTAAACACTACTGTTTGAAAGTTTGTGGTCAGTAAGGTGTTGTTTTTTTTATAATTCTTGTATTTATCTACATTACATAGCTGCTTTCTACATTATTAATAATAGGAAATGTTTTTGAGTACCAATTTAGCATGTTAAAAAGATTTCTGCGGAATCTTGTGACACTGAAGACTGGAGTATTGGCTGCTTTAAACAGCCTGCCATCATCATCACAGGAATTAATTACATTTAAAATGTCCCAAAATTGCAAATAATTACTTTAAATTGTAGTAATATTTCATTACTGTTTTTCTGTATTTTTATGAAATAAAAGCAGCCTTGTTGAGCATAAGACCTTTTTCCAAAACATTCCAAAAAATCTTACCGTCCCAAACTGTAGAACAATAGTGTAGTTATTGTGCAATTTTACATTTACATTTAGCAGACGCTTTAAGTAATTATAAGAATATTTGACCATAACACCGTAAAGTGTGATTACTTTGGAAAGTGTGAATAAATCATCACATAATCACGAATCATCATAAATCAATAGTTCCAAACAACTCCGCGCTGTCAGTCTGACTGAATGGGTTTAATCGGGACAGACAGCAGTTTCACTATATTTGCAGCAATTTCTAGTTATTAACAGATAAAGTGCATTAAAGGCACAATATGTAATTTTTGCCGCTAGAGGGCGCATATTCAAAATAAACAGAGGCAAAGGCATAGTGTGAATATATAACACCGTTCTAGTGGTTTTTGGATATTTTAATAATAAAATCTTACATATTGTGCCTTTAATAACTACGCTGGAATACCACTACTGGACAGATTTCTGAGATGTTAACTAATGCATTAAAATGTAAAAAAATGCAGTAATTTCTTCAATTTATTAGCGAGTGTGCTAGAGAAACACTTAAATTAATGGGCTTCAGTGCTGGAACTATTGGTTGTTTGGAACTATTGGCTGCTCCGTGACACGCTTTGCTTCCGCATTCCTCAATTCCTTTTTTTTTTTTTTTTTATTCCTTAATTCCTATGAAGTGTCGCAACTCTGTTTCTCAACAGCTCTGACTACAGCGGACATCCAGCAAACATCTCTTCCGTTAATAGAAAGTTCAATTTAGTTAAACAGTAGTTCTTCAATTTAATTTTCACATTCTAGTTATATAAGCAAAGAAAATGTAAAGAAAGAAAAAAAAAATGCAAAGAAGAAAAAAATAATGTAAAAATGTGTTGTATTTTACCGTAAACAAACGTCTGTATTCGTTTGTGCATAGCCCTGAAAAGACCAATTTATTACCTATATTGACATTTTATCAGTCAATTAAATAAACAGTAATAATCTATAAAAACATCAATTAAACCATCTACTGAAAGGTTGTCCCTGCATTTTAATCCATCCATTTAACGGGATTTTGTTTATTTTTACTGATACATTATCCCCTTAATGTCTTATTATAATCTGTGATTTGTTTTTTTCAGAATTGAATGCAAAATATTTTTCCCACTTGTTCAGAAGTTCTGAATATTGGCTTTAATAAAAATTAGTTTTAGGGTGTGTTCTCACTTTCCTTTCTTTTGGTCCAGACCAAAAATGAAAACGATATATATCAACAACAATCTTGCGTTATTTTATATATATATATATATATATATATACATTCAAAATTTTCCATGGTGCTGGCTGTGGTTTTATCAACCAGTGGTGAAAATATGATTGACAAATTAACTGAGAAATAAAATGAAATACATTACTAAATCAGTAAATCTAGTTACTGTTGTTTAATGCAGTAAATGTTGAATGTGAATGAAAAAAAAGACACCCCAGTGTAAGAAACATGTCAGCTCACATCTTTTACTGCTGCACATTAATGATTTTTACAAAATACATGTATGGAAGTCCTAGAGCCTCTGCATTCAGAAGTGCAGTGAGAACGAGGCTCATGTTTGAAAGCAACACAAGAGGCAAAAGAAACGTGCCGAAAGCTCAAGATTTCTTAAATTAACTACATACAACTCTATCTCACAGTATATGAACATTAAACATGTATTATAAAACAAAGCAATAAAATAGGCTTCTTGATAGAAAAAAATCTTTTATATTTTTCTTTTTTTATAGTGAAGATTAGCCCTATCTATCTTTCGAACAACTGAAGGACTGCAACAACCTTACTTTCTGCAAATGCCATCAGCTAGACGGTCCAAACAACGGCCTCCTCAGCTTTCATGAATGCATTTCGGTCTCTAGAGCTTGGCTACTGGAAGGACAAAGATGACAGATCATAAAAGTACAGCTGAGAAGTGCAAAAATAGCTCATTAAAACCATAGGGGCTTCTGATAAAATGTTGACAGCAGTAAGAAGTTACATTAATAGAAACGTCTGAATGAAAGTGTATTGAACCAGAGCGCAAGGCAGGGCTTGAACAGCTGTGAAAGTGAGATCCTTGGCATTTCAGTATCTACGCGATCCTCTTTCCAAAACCAGAACACACAGATCGGTGTCGAACTTCGACAGCACTGGAACTCATATTGCAAAATGTACTTTTGTAAAGCACCAGTAATAAATAGGCTTGTAAAAAATGACTCAAAGACACACTGAATTCATTATGTTCCAAATAATGTACAATATTCAGGATCTCAACTGCACAATTTATGACAGTGTAGATCTTAAAAAAGGAGATCCGCATGCATAAAATGGCAATGGCACCTCCGTTCGGTAAAATACGGGTAGAAACAGCACCCTCAATTAAGTCAAATAAATTAATGCAATTTGATAAAAGTAGATTAGGAGATTACAAATATTCTGTATCAAACTAATGTAATTTGGAGCGACTCCATGAACCTGATGTTCATGCTGATGTGCTTCTAGAGTGTTTGTGGCATAGTTTCACAGCGCTGAGGTTAAAAGGGCGTGACACCCAATGACAAAGCTGCATTCTCTGAGAAATACACTGTGAAACACCCTGCCTCGACTCTAGACCCATATATCAGAATAGATGGGCTAGTAATAGTCCACCGAGGAGCGATCAAACCCATCCAGGTGTCCGACCCCTGCGAACTGAACGCTACTGACATTGGCAGGGTGTACTGGAGACGCTGGATGAGTGCTGGTGGATTTGGGTGCAGGCTGGGTCATCGCTAGCTACTCCATGATGGCTCGGTAGATGACGGGTTCGATGTAGTCGCCTCTGTACCTGGAGTTGATCACTCTCTGTCTCTTGCTCTCCTGGACCTTCTTCTCTCCAAACATGCCATCAAAACGCATGTTCGATGCCTTAGACTGAATCACACACATGCAAAAATCAACAGAGCGCATTAGTGGCCACCCACTTTCTCCAGAAGTATTTTTTTCCATTAATTTTTCCTACAGGGATTTAAAAAAAGTATTATGCCATTTGGACCAGCTGGCTCCACTGAATCACAACCTGTAAGTATGTTTAATAATAGATGTTTTTTATATTTTCTCTCAAGCGTTCAAATTATGGAACTATGGCGATGGGCGTATCGTTTCCGACACACGCTGTACGCGGCAGACCAATCACAACAGACTGGGCCATCTGACCAATCAGAGCAGAGAAGGGTCACGGAAAAGGAGGGGTTTAGAGAATCTTAGAACTGCTTCAAATGAATCGTTTGAGAATTATTGGAAAACGAGGTGATATTAAATGCATATTTTAAGAAAACTAAAGCGTTTTTTGATCTTGCATGCATGTAAACCTATTGTAGGAGACTCCAAAAACAATATTAGGAACATTAAAAATGGCATAATAGAGGCACTTTAAAGCATTATAAGCCATAAACCAAACCAATCAGTTATGAGGTGATTTACAACATTACAAACTTTGTTTTGAAGCAATAAAAAAACAAAACAAAACAAAACAAAACAAAACAAAAAAACCTGTGTGCTTATTGGCTATAATGAGGTAAAGAACTACAATCCCAAATGAAATAATCAAATAAAAAATAATGGAGAAATATAAAACTATTCATTTAAAATTGTTGATTATATCTATAGAAACAATATAAGTTTATTGCAAAATATGCATTTATACTGTATGTGTATAATGTAAAGTATTTTATTTGGTCACCATGACTTTGATTGTTTTAATAATAAGTTGCAATAATGATGGCCTCAACAAACGCATATATCATCAAGAACAACCTTGTAGCTCACAGTAGGAGTGTCTTTAATAGTTTCCAAGTTATCTTTAAAAATCATTTCCCCAAGGAGAAAATTAATGAATTTTTACTTCCAGAAACACTCTTTTATTGCATCTGACAAGCTTAACAACTATGGAGTACTGTTGTCACATCATTTTTTCTTTTTAAATCTTAGTATTTTTACTTGCAATCTGCCTAACATATGAGCTCACCAGACGAGATTTGACTCTCTTGGGCAGCTCTTCGTCTAGGGTGTAGACGTCATCTCTCTTAGCAGTCAGCTGCGATCCGTCCTCAAACTCCACCTGAAGAGAAGCAGTGATTTACTAAACGACTAAACGCAGACTGAACCGCTCGAACTCTTCTCTTAGACATTTACCTGGTACATCTGAATGACATGAGCTGCCACGAATTTGGCTCCATAGACAAGACCGTCTGTCCATCTGACCTGAACCACTTCCCCCTGCGGTGGAGGACCCAGCTGAGCGCAGTCTCGGTTCTACACCAAACCACGCAAAATACAATATTTATAATATACGACATCTTAAATATACAGTATTTTGGAGCCAATCATACACTACCATTCAAAAGTTTTGGGTCAGTAAGTGTTTTTGTGAAAGAAATTAAGACTTTTATTCATCAAGGGTGCATTAAATTGATCAAAAGTGCCAGTAAAGACGTTTATAATGTAACAAAAGATTTCTGTTACAAATAAATGCTGTTCTTTTGAACTTTCTATTCTCAAAGAATCCTGAAAAAAAAAAAGTGTCAGTTTCTACAAAAATATGAAGCGTCGTAACTTTCCCAAAATTCCCCGATGCTTCCAGGTTTTCCATGCCGTTGATAATTAGATAATGTTCTTAAAACTGTAGTTAAATGCACCTTTTCTATGATAAACTGCTGTAGAGAATAGGTCGAATCTCATGTCTTACCACAATGTCTTCTGGGAAAAGGTTATCACTGAAGGAGCCATCATCAAAGTTGACCTCATAAAATGTCTCTTTTGTCAGCTGTATGACTTCACACTGGTAGTAGCGTCCATTTTTGTGCTTGCAGATGACCTTCTGACCCACGCTGAGCTCTCTCATGGCTGCTTTATTACGCTGCAGTGGAGAAAGAGAGAGCACTGGTCACAGCAGCAACACATATGATGGTAGATGCTATTTACAATAGGGCTGCACGATAATTGTTAAACAGTTAGTCACAATTATTTTGCTCACAAAATATAATCACGATTATTATTCACGATCGTCATTATTACATTTACTGTATTACACTTTATGCAAATGGACAGTGTTGTAAATGTATTATTTTTTACTTATGGTTTGGAGAAAGAAAATGCTATTCATACTCTGTTCTATTTGAACACTTAAACCATGAAAAGGAAACAGGAAGAGACTATTGGGCCAACTTGTACAGCCACATCTCATTTTAATGCAGTGCACATGTTACAGTGCACAATCTTAGTGTTTCAGAGTAGTGTGACCACTTCTTGAAGGTCTTGGTCTTGTCTCCGTCTCAACTGCATTTGTACTCGGTCTCAGACTAAAAGGTCTTGGGATTTTATTTCAAGAACACAAGTGCGGAGATATCACTAAATTGCTGTTACACTGTCTGATTTATTTTTTAACATCATTAATTTGATGTAAAACTTCCTGCTTTAAATGCAATCAATAACTTATTTCTAATTGTATCTCTTTTGATACTGCTGTGCTCGGTCAGAATTTAATGGGGAATTGTGTCAAAAATTTCACCTCAATTAATAATCTTAAAAAAATTCAAGATATGATTGCAAAAAAGTATGACATCTTGTTTTTATATTATAACATATAATTAAGCAATATCACAAAATCAAGAGAGCTGTTTTCATGAATATGAGCATGATTGCAAAACGTGATATTGATTTTATACAAACGTTAAACAAGAAGCATCAAGTGAATTATATTTTAGACAATTTAATTTTTTGCTATTTTGGCAACAAAAATAGTTCCAAACAAAGTCCAGCAATCAACTGTTGCGTTTCCGAGCTACACACAGCGACGATTCATTACTGAATGAATCAGCTGCTTTGAACGAATTGGTTGAATAAATGATTCTGTGAATCACCCATTAAGTGATTTGCCGCCAACTGGCGGTTTTAGTTCGACATTCATATTTAATTTATTTTCCATCATATTTCTATATTCAAAATTCTATTTTTAAAACATTAAACTCTCAACAATATTTATGCAATTGTAATTCTACCAATTCAGATGCAGCTTCTGTGCCACCTATGCAGCACAAAGATGAATTCTGTTCATTCTGTCCTATTCAGTTGATTGGTAACAGCTCTAAATAGTTGTCGGCAATTTCGCAAAACTTGTCGGCGAGTGAAAAATCGGGCTAAAATCGTGCAGTGTGAACTCTGCATTAACCTCTAAAAGTCTTGGTCTCGGTCTCAACTTGGTCTTTGTTTAGGTGGTTTTGACTACAACACTATGTCAGAGTGCAATACCTCTGATTGTACCGGCCCTTTGTGGCGGCAACAGGTGACATAGACGACGAAGGGCCAATCGTCCGGGTGCATGATAACGCCGGCGGCCTGTGCACAGGTCGGGTGATATGAGGTGGGGCAGCGACCGTGAGAACACTGCACACAACAGCCCAATGTTTTCTTCATCCGCCGTTTGCAGTAGTAGCATTTCTGTAAGCACATACAAGAGAGATTAGTTCACAGGAAAACAGCTCAGAGGAAGTGAGACAGGAGGAAATGGCACTGAGTGTAGATATAAATAACACCATGTCTGCTTACACCAAAGCACTTCCAGTAAAAGTCAACATCCTGAAGTTACAATCTGCAGCAAAACGTGTCGTTCTCTTGCACCAACGATGTACGATATGATTTAAGACACATGGAGCTGTTGATTAATGGAGGTTTGGTGTGGAGCCACATCTCAGAGAAGTGAGATGTTGCTGTTTAAAAGGATGCCCATTTTGCACGCTGCATGTTTTCTAGAGAAGGGAACAGAAACTCACCAGCTTGAATCTCTGTAAGGGAATGCCGCTGAGATCCACGGGCGATCGTTCAGCGATATTCACAAAACGAGCCTCCTGCACTGCCACCGCACACAGGACGTGAACCCATCTGCACATGGAGACACATGTTAGGAACCTGGGATGATGATTTGTGGAAAGTACACAACATTAACCGATCCTGAAAAAAATGGCAGGATCAATCTCACAAAACCTCTCAAGATTATGTCCAAGTCATATTTCACAGCAGAATCAAAACATAAAAATAAGCAATTATATTTTGCATTTAGGAAAATTATATTTTTAGGATCACTTACATTTTTTTTTTTTTACAATGGGACATTATTTTCATGACAATAAAATACATTTCCTTCCTGAATTACTGTAATTTGTTGTTGTACCTTTGAGTCTTTTTGTAATTCTCATAGGGGCTTTTGCACCAGAAGAACATTTCATAGCTCCTATAACTATTGATGGAAATACCCGCTTTTTGACGTGTCCGCACTGCAGGAACCGAAAATGATTTTAGTTATAGAAACGCCTTCGAGGGGGGATTAAATTAGCTCTTACTTGAGAGTAGGTTCTAACCCAACACAACAGAAACTACTAGTGACGTAAGTGTAAGGTGACTGCCCGAATGCATTCTGTATGAAACGCCTCCACCTGCCATTTACATATATTTACTCCACAAACATGGAAAACAGCGATAGATGGACCAACGCCAAAGTCCAGGCACTTCTTCATCCTCCACTTGTTGATGTTGCTGAATGCAGCACTTTTTTTTTGCTGCAAATACAACCAAGAAAACGGCCCTAGGGGAAAATGTAGTTCTCGGGGGACCACCCTGGCTTCTAGTTCCTCTAACTGAGTTCCTTTAACTACCCAGTGTTACCTAATTATTCTCTGTGATGGTTCTCATTACTAAAATACAGGCTGTTTGTACTACAGTAATAAAAATTACTG